AAAAAAAAAAAAAAAAAGACTCGCAAAAGCTTGTGGTGTCAAAGTTTACCGGCATATTATACGTTGCCTAGCAACGATAAGTCTTTAGCTAATTACAGCTATCCATATAAGGTGAATGACGTCACTGACACTTTGAAGATGGCGGCACGAGCGATATTCTAACTCTATAAGACAGCACAAAAAACATTCATTTTTACCTCTTTGAGGCGCTCAGTTTAACTCGATCTCTGTAGATCTCTTTAATGATATTTATTCTAACTTCTGGTAAAGTTTCAATAAGTTTGGTTCTGATAGAATGGTGTTATGAATGTTCTTGACGACGGGATGTGCTCGACATGGAACCACCGTAGCTACTGTCAACATAAAACAAGATGAATTTTCTCTTCGTCGAGTTGGGCAAGAAATACGGCCAAAAAACTTTCCAGTTTAACAAATAATGAAAGGTCAAGTGCGTCCCTTCTAGTCTTAACTACAAGGTAAGTTACTTATAAATTGAATTTTAAATTGTATGTATAAAAAGTTTGTAAATATTGCAAAAATAAGGGGGGAAAATAYTTTTTTATTGTTCATTGGTAATAATTCAATTGAACTTGTGCAGCAGATTTTTTCTCGTCCATAGATTAATTTTCATAAATTTTCTGGAACCTTTCTTTGGATCATTTTGACTTTCGTAGAAAAAAATTCATTTAAGCTTAATGTATCTCGATGTTGAAATAACTAAAAAACTAATTTGTGAAAACCAGACTGAGGAAAATACGAATTAACAATTATGTTAAAATTTGCCATTCTGTTTTGTAAGCATTTTATACTATACATTAGAATTTTTAAATAATGATTTTTTACTATTTTTTGGACTATATTAACTGGCTGACCTATAACTTTTTCTAGAACCAAAATTCTAGAACCAATGATAAGTATTATTCCAATTTATAAATTAAATCCATTTGCTTGAATCTTTAAAAAACAAAAAAAACGTCCTTTTTTCACGAGGGTAGCACTTAATAGACAGTGGCTAACAAACCTGTGGCCCTCATTCCGTGATCGAATTGGAATTTAGGAGTTGATTTTTGCGGAGGGAGAAAAACTAGAGAACCCAGAAAACCCTCGAAGCACAGGAGAGAACCAACAAACAACTCTACTTATATACAACACTGAACCTGGCGGGACTACAACTCAGGTCACATTGATGGGAGGCGAGTGCTCACACCGCTTCGCCACCCGTTCTTTAACAAATTGCTCATAGATCATACGTGACATTTCAAAACCCAAGCTGAACCATGAATGCAGCAAGACCACATGTAATACCCTAGAGTATATTTTCTTCATTTAATGGTTGCACAGGACAAACTCAAAAGAAAAATCTTATTCTCAAGAGAATGACATGGTCTGGAATGGAAAAACATTTTCCTGAAGCTAATGATGAGGTCTATTTATATATTATCTGTTGCAGATTGTAAAATAAACAACAAAATGGCTGAAGCAGTTAAAGTCATCGTTCGTTCCCGACCTCTCAACCAACGAGAGAAAGATCTCAAATGTGAGGTTGTCCTAGAAATGGACAGCAACTCTGGCCTTTGTTCCTTGCACAAGCCAGGGGAGAAAAACCAGCCTCCAAAGAACTTCACTTTTGAYGGAGCCTATTACATAGATTCAACTACTGAGAGTATATACAATGATATATGCTTTCCGTTAGTCGAAGGAGTTCTAGAGGGGTATAATGGGACTGTCTTTGCCTATGGACAAACCGGTTGTGGTAAGTCCTTCAGTATGCAAGGAATAACAGACCCCCCAACCCAAAGAGGGATAATCCCAAGAGCGTTTGAGCATATTTTTGAGACTATCGAAGTAGCAGATAACTCCAAATTTTTAGTTCATGCATCTTACTTGGAAATTTACAATGAAGAAATCAGAGACTTGCTCGGGAAGGACCACAAAGCTAAACTAGAATTAAAAGAACACCCAGATAAGGGAGTCTACGCTAAAGACCTCTCGCTTCACCCAGTGAATAACAGTACCGAACTGGAACATGTAATGGACCTTGGTAGCAAGAACCGTTCAGTTGGTGCAACATTAATGAATGCCGACTCCTCTCGCTCGCATTCTATTTTTAGTATTTTAATTGAGATATTAGATACTGCTGCTGATGGTGGTGAGCACATTCGTGCGGGAAAGCTTAACCTTGTAGATTTAGCAGGAAGCGAGAGGCAGTCTAAGACAGGAGCTACTGGAGATAGGTTAAAAGAAGCAACCAAGATTAATCTCTCTCTTTCTGCACTTGGTAATGTTATCTCGGCTTTGGTGGATGGAAAAGCAAAACATATTCCTTATCGAGACTCAAAACTTACCCGTCTTCTTCAGGTAATATTATTAGTGTATGTCACATATTTTATATAACTTGGATGGTCTTTACATTGTTAAGGGTCAGATATAGAATTCAACCATCCCTACCCAGTTTGGAAATTTTAATCCCACTCCCCCATTGAGAATGTAGAGTGTTTTCTGGAACTTCACAGTATGCCCCCCTCTGACGCACCCAAGGGCGGTTCCAGCCAAAAATTTAGGGGGGGCTATTGGAGTTTCTTCCATCAACACAACGATAAACAATAAAAAAAGCATCTAATTCTTCTGTTTTGTTTTGTTTTTTGTTTTTTGCCCCCCCCCCCCTGGATCCGCCCTTGCCACCCCACCCCAAGTTAGAAATTCCAGTTACCGTCCATGGGGGAGGTATGAATATTTTTTGGAACTAAACAATACATGCATACCCTTCTTAGACCCTCCCCATCCCTTGATAACTCAAATCCTCCTCTATGGGGGAAATATGGATATTCTTTGGAACTACACAAAATACCCTCCTCAGACACTCCCCACCCCTTGGAAATCCAATTTACTCATCTTCAATTTATTTTTCAAAATTTATAATAATAATAAGAAATTTATCTCTCTTTTTTCAGGATTCTCTGGGTGGTAATACCAAGACATTAATGGTAGCTTGCTTAAGTCCAGCAGACAATAACTACGACGAGACACTCAGTACCTTGCGCTATGCAAACAGAGCCAAGAACATCAAGAACAAACCACATATCAATGAAGATCCAAAGGATGCTCTGCTGCGAGAGTATAAAGAAGAGATAGAGAAACTGAAGAGGATGTTGATGGGACAGATGGACATACCCACTGGTTTACTGGGTGAGTTTAGAGCTAGAGTGGGATAGGTGGTGTGTGCTGATAATGGACTACTTTGACGATATGGCACCCGCCACCCTCTTGCTTTTTCTCTCCCTCCATCGTCCCCACTCCTCCTCCTCCTCCTCCTCCTCCTCCTCATCCCTCATTCCTAGTTCTTCTCTGCCATAAAGTTTAATACAGGGGTCCCAACAGAGAACATAGAACATATGAAGTAGCCTGCGGAAGAGGCTAGGCTTTCGCCTAGTTTGAGCTTAACTCTGTTGTGTTATAAAGAAAATTTGGGTTCTATGACATTTCATTCTGTCCTATTTCTTCTTTGCTTGATTGCCATCATTGATCTCTCCTCTCATATGTTTCGTCCCCATCCCACTTTCCACCTTCCAGTCATCCTTATCACATACCTTTTTCATATTCCTTGTTTACTCTTTCCCCAATCCTTTTGACTCCTTTTGTTCTCTATTCTTTGCTAAAGACGGTACGCCATCTACAACCTCAGTCCCTCCAAAACCAACAGCTCGCCGACTTTCTCACGAACATGTGATGGCCGTCGCAGTTGAAACTGAACAACTCCGACAGGAATACGAAGCAAGAATCCTTGACATGAAGACCATGTATGAAGCAGAGCAAATGTCAAAGCAAAAACTGCAAGCTGAAATGGATAAGTTGAAGGAAGATTATAACAAGAAGGTTCATGATATTGAGGAACATTATGCCGAGGAGGAAGGCATTTCTGATGGCCAGGCGTATAAATCAAATGGTCTGACGTCAGTGACACCAGATATGGATAACACAATGAGTCTTATTACATTAGATGAGGTAAACAATTTGTTTGACTGCTTTTCAGCTTGTTTGTTTGTTTATTTGCTTGTTTTCTGTTTGTTTGTTTGTTTGCTTTTTTGTTTGCTTGTTCGTTTTTTTGTTTTTTGTTTTTGTTTTTTTTTGCTTGCCTCCTTACTTGTTTGCTTGCTTACTTATTTGCTTGCTTTCTTTCTTCCTTCCTTCTTTGCTTGTTTGTTTATTTGCATGCTTGTTTGCTTGTTTGCTTTATTACTTGTTTGGTTGTTTAATGTTAGCTTGTTTGCTTGTTTACTCGATGTTTGCTTGCTTACTTTCTTCCTTCCTTCTTTGCTTGTTTGTTTATTTGCATGCTTGTAGGTTGTTTGCTTTATTGCTTGTTTGCTTGCTTGTTTAATGTTAGCTTGTTTGCTTGTTTACTCGATGTTTGCTTGCTTACTTTCTTCCTTCCTTGTTCTTTGCTTGCTTATCTTCCTTGGTGTCATTTGTGCGTTTGCTGTAATGTCCGTCCATCCTTATTTTTCGCGAAGTCTCCTTTGTTTACTTCACAAATAAATATTTATTTTATCAACACCGTTTTCTCGTAGGCTCGTCGTGCTTCCGAATCGCACACTTCTCTGCCCCACGAACCTTCCCAAGCATCTGTAGTTCATCTTTATCAAGCAAAGTTTCCCAAAAGCATTGAAAATGTTCCCGTTGCCATCGCAGACCAACGTGGTGCCCAGCAAGAAGCTCTCAAGCGTCTACAAGAACTACAAGAGAAGATGGTTGGCGGAGAAAAGAAGGGAGACCAGAAGCTTAAAGAGAAGAGAAAAGAAAGAAAAGCGTACGCGAAATCTAAGAAAGAAAAGCTGTTTCTGGCAGCAAAAAAGATGGACGACGAAGGAATCTCAACCATGGTCAAAGTATACGACTCGCTTCAAGACGAAATTAAATTTAAAACGAAGAAGATAGATCGTTTGGAAAAAGAAGTTACGAGTTTGAACACAGAGATTGATGACTTACAGATAGAGTTTGAACGAGATAGGGAGGATTACCTGGACACGATTCGTAAACAGGAGCAAATGGTGAAGTTACAACAGCAGATTTTAGATAAGATTCAGCCCTGCATCAGACGGGATTGTAATTATTACAACATCGATAGGATAAAGACAGAATGTGTTTGGGATGAAGAGAATGCAAAGTGGAATCTACCAGATCTTGTGATTACCAAGACAACGCTCCCCACCCCGGGAGGGGTGATGCCAGGTGCTTCCCCCCAAACAAGGCGAAAGTCGCCTATCAGTAGAGCTCAAGTAACTAATCAGGGGCAGCTTGCGAATGGATATGGTGGTGGTGGCTACCATGACGAAAACGAGGACAGATTTCGACACCATTTGGAGAGAAGTACGCACACAGAACTCGCTGCAAATTACTTTAAACCAAAAAGAGCTGAAAAACTTCTGACTCAGAATACGCGCTACGAAGCAATAGATCGGAGAGAGACTACCTCTCCCGTGGGCTCTCGTCAGGGGAACAGTTTTGGCTCCACAATACCTCCCCCTAGGGCGTTCGGTAGTAACCATAGTAACCTTCCCCCTCAAGAAGCGCATGCCCCAAGACCGCTGCGTTTGGAATCGTTGAATGTAACGACAGAGAAAGAGAGAAAGAAGAAGAAGAAAAGACAACAGCACATAGAACAAGCACAAGAAAGGAGAAGAGAAGATTCTTGGTAGCCAAGAAATGTCGCAATCTCTCTGGAATCCTTGCTTTAGTGAATTGAAAATTGTAATATAATAGTGTGAAATTAATATATAATTGCACGTGTAGCACGTGATAGGTCGAGCAACCAATCATGTCACTGGCTGCTTTGCATTGCTGGGCTTCCTTTGCCAATGTGGAATGTGTGGTCTTGGAAAGATCGACCAGAATCTAATATTGAAATTAATTTATTGAATTGTACTAAATTGACTTGCCTCATGGTTCGGGCCTGCGTAGTTTTTGGTCAGTGGCATGGAGCGGAGAGATCTGGGGCGAATCCAATCCTTCTTTACACCAGATTGAATATATCGTCAATGGGAAGAAAATCACTTCAAACCAGTAAAACCTGTTTCGAGTTTTGTTGGCCACCTGTTTGCTGGAGAGGAGGTTGAGTTGTGGTGCTGACCTAAACGAACGGAGGCTCGCTCAGGCTCGAGAATTACTAGATAGAAAACCAATTGATTCATATGAACAAACGCGCATGTCTCACTTGCGTGTTTCTGCTGTACATGATGTTTGTAGCGTGAATTATAAGAAGAAAAGAATAAAGAAAGCTTCTCTTTGATGTACAGTTTAATGGTTGTACAAGGCATCCTAAATCCTAGGAGTTTTTTTAATTCTTTAAATGCATAAACCAAAATTCATTGAAGAACTGATTTATAAAGACTTTTTTTCGGATTCGTAGAAAACGGCTTTGTTGATGGATTACAGACTCATTTACTCACGGTTAGCATCATTTCAGTGTCCAAATATTCACAAATACCAACGGGAAAAAAATGTATAACTTCAACAATACTGGCAAACCACTTGGAAATTCCACGGAAAAAACACGATCGAAATTAACGCGATTAAGGACAATTTTAGATCATCTTGATTTTATGGAATACCCCCCCCCCTCCCCCCTCCATAAAGGAAGAGTACGACCCCCTTAGGTACTAGGTAAAGTGTCTCTTTTTTTTAGGCCAACTGTAGACTGATTCTATAAGTCGGCGTTTTCGCTCTTTTGTCGACTCTGGATATCGCTAACACTAACCCACAAAGTAGCGAAAACTACGACTTATGGAATTAGTCTAGGCCAACTGGTGAATCCATGAAATCCGCCCCTGTAATAACGTAATGCAAATAGAGCTCTGGTCCGCGAAAAATATGTTATAAAATGCATGGTTAAAAGTGAAAAAACAAACAGTTTATATACTAAAAAAATACAGTCAGCCATTTAGGTACTTGACAACAGATTAATAACTTGATTATGTGACAGAGTCAAAAGACACTATTTTGGACAGTAATTATTTAG